CCCAACCCCTTGGGGGACACCTCGACCCCCTGAGGACACCCCCCAACCACTCAGGGACATCCTCAACCACTAGGGACACCTCAACTCCTTGGGGGGCACCTCAACCCCCCTACACACACACGTTTTGGGGTGTTTTGGGGTTGGGGGGACACCTATTTGACCTCTCTCTCTCTCTCCCCCCGTCCCCACAGCCGACTCCACCGGCACCCACTCCCTCTACACCACCTACCAGGACTACGAGATCATGTTCCACGTCTCCACCATGCTGCCCTACACCCCCAACAACCCACAGCAGGTACCCCACAACCCCTTGGAAGGCCCCATCCTCAACATCCAGATCTCTGAGGACACCTCAGTTCCTTGGGGGGCACCCCAACCTCTCAGGAGGCACCTCAACCACCCTTGGGGACACCCCAACCTTCTGGGGGGACAGCTTGACCCCCTGAGGGGAAGGCCCCATCCTCAACCTCTAGGTCTTCCCCACCTTGGAAGGCCCCATCCTCAACCTCTAGGTCTTCCCCACCTTGGAAGGCCCCATCCTCAACCTCTAGGTCTTCCCCACCTTGGAAGGCCCCATCCTCAACCTCTAGGTCTTCCCCACCTTGGAAGGCCCCATCCTCAACCTCTAGATCTTCCCCACCTTGGAAGGCCCCATCCTCAACCTCTAGGTCTTCCCCACTAGAGGGGGGCACCCCGACCTCCTCAAGGGACACCTCAACCCCCTGAGGACACCCCAAACCACTCAGGGACACCACAACCTCTTGGGGACACCTCGACCCCCTGAGGACACCCCCAACCTCCTTGGGGACACCTCAACCTCCTGAGGACATCTCAACCCCTCAGGGGGCACCTCAACCCCCTTGGGGACACCTCAACTCCTTGGGGGGCACCCCAAACACCACAACCTCTTGGGGACACCTCGACCCCCTGAGGACACCCCCAACCTCCTTGGGGACACCTCAACCTCCTGAGGACATCTCAACCCCTCAGGGGGCACCTCAACCCCCTTGGGGACACCTCAACTCCTTGGGGGGCACCCCAACCTCTCAGGAGGCACCTCAACCACCCTTGGGGACACCCCAACCTTCTAGGGGGACAGCTTGACCCCCTGAGGACACCCCCAGCCACTCAGGACAACTCAACCCCTTGGGGACACCTCGACCCCCTGAGGACACCCCCAACCACTCAGGGACACCCCAACCCCTTGGGGGACACCTCGACCCCCTGAGGACACCCCAACCCCTTGGGGACAGCTCAATCCCCTTCTTAACCCCCTGAGGACATCCTCAACCTCCTTGGGGGGCACCTCGACCCCCTGAGGGCACCCCCAGCCACTCAGGGTCACCACAACCCCTTCGGGACAACTCAACCCCCTGAGGACACCCCCAACCACTCAGGGTCACCCCAACCCCTTGGGGACAGCTCAACCCCCTCCTTAACCCCCTGAGGACACCCCTAAGCTCCTCCGGGGACACCTCAACCTCCTGAGGACACCCCCAACCACTCAGGGACACCTCAACCCCCTGAGGACACCTCAACTCCTTGGGGGGCACCCCAACCTCTCAGGAGGCACCTCAACCACCCTTGGGGACACCCCAACCTTCTGGGGGGACAGCTTGACCCCCTGAGGACACCCCCAGCCACTCAGGACAACTCAACCCCTTGGGGGACACCTCGACCCCCTGAGGACACCCCCCAACCACTCAGGGACATCCTCAACCACTAGGGACACCTCAACTCCTTGGGGGGCACCTCAACCCCCCTTGGGGACACCCCAACCTCCTGGGGGGACAGCTTGACCCCCTGAGGACACCCCCAGTCACTCAGGGTCACCACAACCTCCTCAGGGGACACCTCAACCCCCTGAGGACACCCCAAACCACTCAGGGTCACCCCAACCCCTTGGGGACAACTCAACCCCCTCCTTAACCCCCTGAGGACACCCCTAAGCTCCTCCGGGGACACCTCAACCTCCTGAGGACACCCCCAACCACTCAGGGACACCTCAACCCCCTGAGGACACCTCAGTTCCTTGGGGGGCACCCCAACCTCTCAGGAGGCACCTCAACCACCCTTGGGGACACCCCAACCTTCTGGGGGGACAGCTTGACCCCCTGAGGACACCCCCCCCCCCCCAGGACAACCCCACCCC